CTTCGTTTTTTTATTGCTGAAGAGTGTTTCTTCTCCTGCGTTCTACTGTACAGACGTGAATTTACATTTGCTTCAGCCTGAGGTTTATTCATTACACTTTTTGGTGTGAAAGGACTTTTACATTTGCTATAAATAGAACTTCTTATATAAAAAAAAAATCAAGCCCTGCTCATATTTAAAAAGTAACGTGAAAGTAATAACACATTACATTCCATAAAAAGTAACTAAGTAACGTAGTTACTTTTTTAGGGAGTAACGCAATATTGTAATGCATTACTTTTAAAAGACACCAACACGAACATTTCATCACAGGAGTGTAGTGGTGAGACTTCCATCTCAGTTCTTAATCTGAGAATATTTGTTTTCTATTTGAATTGGTTTATTATTAAAACATTTTGCGTTCTATAGATATATTTCTCATGTCTGTGAGGAATGAGTTTGGTTCATTTTTGATGTGTTCAAGTTTGGTTTCATTATTTTACAGTGCACAACGTTTTGTTGTTATTGTGAGTGTACACAAACAAATGTAGACCCTTACCAGATTCGAACGATGTAATTCTTGTCTGTACGACCAAAAATGACGGAGTATAGGCGCCTCTTGTCATGCAGAATAAGCGCACTGCTATTCAGCTTCCACACGCCGCACAAACACTTGGAAATGCGCACATTTAATATAGACATTATAGCCTACATGTAATATAGAGGGGCCCCCTCATTTTATGATAGGCCCCCCCAAATTACAATTCTGGCTACGCCACTGCTCCAAACGTCCAGTTTTGAGTTTTGATTTTAGTAATTGTGTACAAGAACGTAAATCAAACGTTTTTGTGATGAAACGAAAGCATGGACAGATCTTCCATATTGTATGGAATCTTGTTTTCACCAAAGTTAAAAAATGTAATAAAAAAAAAAAAAAGAGAAAAGAGTCACAATTCTGACTTTATATCTAGCGATTTTATATCTCACAATTTCGATTTAAATTTATATTAACTCATTTGTTTATTCATTTTTTTAAATATATATTATTTATTTATTTATTGGTTGTATGCATTGGTTGATTGGATTTTGAGATGTGGGGTTTGCACTCAAAAGTGGAGATAGATGAATGTGAGCTTGCAGGGACGGAGTTTAAGAGGACTAAACATATAGACTGGGACTAAATAACTGGAGAAGTCCAGCATAAGTCACCAGAGATAAGTTATGATAAGTAATATGATTTTTACCGGAAGATCCAGTGAGGACATTTTGATTAAACATAACGAGATCATTTTAAAATAATAATAATAATAATAATAATAATAATAAAATAAAGTACATGCATGGTCAAACTGTTCACAACAAGATCCATAATATGCATTTAGAAAACAGACAGGGTGAATTTTAATTGCATGCAGCCTTTAACATTTATCATGTTATTTGTTTGTTTGTTACAGACTTTACGGACTTTTAAATGGGCACTGATGACTTTTATTTTGAAGTTAGAATTGTAGGCTTTTATTTTGAAAGCGTGTTTTCATAGCTGTTGTTTACACGATGAGCGAACAGTAGCCTATGTGCTATCTGAGTGAGATATCAGTTTAATCCTAATTAAGGACCACGTTCAGGTTTTGGTACGTCGCATATTAAACGTCCCCTTTAGATGATAATTAATTTCTTGAGAAAGACACGTTAGCTGGTGGCAGTAGTGCTGTTTTGTTTTTTTTCAGATAGGTTAGCATGGTTAGTCAGTGAATGAACTGCATTGTATTCATTCATAATCGCACTGATTTATTAACTAAACACGTGTTAGCAAAATCTATTTGCTAATGCTGAGATCAGCGGGGGGTTAATAACTCATCACGCCATGGCTCAACGCGACCATCATCACGAGTCTGTTCATAAAAGATGCACAGACTCCAGCAGTGATTATAACACGAATAAGCGCCGTAGACCATCCGATGAAAGGCAGCACAGAGCAGCCGAGACTCTGAGCGCTCACAGACAACTGTATGAGAGACACTTCCCGCTCTACAAGCAGCCTGTGGAGGTGGGCTGCTTCTCTCTGGACCCTCACAGGAACTTCTACAACGATCAGAGGCGGCTGCGGTACTATGTCCAGCCCCGGAAAAGTCCACATTTGAATTTAAGGGACGGATACACCAGCCGCTTCGTAAAGAGAGATGACCGAGTGAAAGAGAAGCTTGATCACGTGCTGAAGTGGATTCTGGCCAACAGAGACAAGATTCAAAGCAGAGACCACACCCCCTCATCCGGGTGAGATGCACATTCTGCACTTTTTTACTTCTCTATAAGGAAATATATTTTTACAGTGAAGTATAATTAAAGACAGACCTACAATAGGTTAATAATTATTAAATAGATAGCATTTCTTAGGGCCCTATATTGTACAAATAAATAAATAATAAATTGTTGTTACATATTATAAGTTTTATTATTTCAGTTAATTAGATGTGTTTTTTGATTACTATTTAATTAAATAATTTAATTTAACCAGTGAAACCTGATAAATCAAAACAGGGGGGAATGTAGAACAGAATATGAACATAGTATAAAAAAAAAAAAGCATGTAAAAGAAAATATAAACATTAAAAAAAGCGTATGCTAAAGTTGGTGAAACTCCGTTTTTGTATAAATTACATTTTAATGTATTTACTTTTAATAGAGTAATAAATACAACTTACGTGTTATGTCACATTACTTGAAATAAAATAACACATATTTTTCTTAGCTGGTTGGCCACTGCAACTTTTCTCATTTTCATTCAGTTTAACCTGATGTACTAAAAAAAAAAAAAACTGAAATGAAAATGAATAATAATAATTTAAATGGCAATAATAGACTATACCAAATTACTTAAATAAGTTTTTTTTTCATTGCGGTGTCAGGACAGGGGGAAAGAAAGTCAAATAGAATTTTCAGAACTCCTTTATAATAGAAGAGGCATATTGAAGTCATTTTATGTCCTTTTATCTACATTTCTATGTGTTTTTGAATATATGAGTGCCACATAATTGACCCAGATTGTATGTACTGCACAGCTGGATTATTATAAAAAAAACAAAAAAGAAAAAAAATATTATAAATCAAAATTACTTGAAATAAATGTTGCTTGAAATAAAGTAAAATAAAATATAAAAGCATTTATTTCAGCTAGTTGCCAACGCAACATTTCTCGTTTTCATTAAGTTGATGCACTAAAATAACAAAAACTGAAATAAAAATGACGAATCGCGCAACAAAAGTACATTCGGGGAAATTCAAATAAAACGAATGTAAAACTAAACTAGCACTGCAGCACAGATGTCTTGTTTCTGTCAGTTGTTTCTTGTTTTCTGTTGAGCTATTGAGTGTGTTTGCAGCGCTCTAGGACTGGACTTTGTGACATGGAGAGGACACCTAACCAAAGTGCTGACCACCCCATACGAGACTCAAGAGGGATGGATGCTGGCCGCCTCCAAATTCAGAGGCACCATCTACATCAGTGAGGTGGAAACAGAGGCTGCCAGAGTGAACCGAGAGACCCGCTCCGAGCGACAGGAGGAGATGATGTACTGGGGCTACAAGTTTGAGCAGTACATATGCGCAGGTTTGGGACGACTAGTACTTTCTACTGTCAGACTGGTGATAGTGAAAGATCTCATCACTTATCGACCGTTTTCCTTCCTTTTAAGATGATGTGGATGGGACTCCAGACCCAGGGGGCGTCGTGAACACCAACGAGGCGTTCTGTACGGTGGTTCAGACGCGTCTGGCTGACCATAAGCTGCTCTTCTCTGGAGAGGTGGACTGCCGCGTCACAGACCCCGATGCTCCTGCGGCGCCGGGATGTTATGTGGAGCTCAAGACCTCCGCAGAGATCTGCACCCCGAAACAGCGAAGCAACTTCCACAGGTGAAACTATCAACACCAGCTGGTCATTCCACAGAACTAAAGGGTTAGTTCACCCCAAAATGAAAATTCTGTCATTAATTACTCACCCTCATGTCGTTCCAAACCCGTAAGACCTCCGTTCATCTTCGGAACACAAATTAAGATATTTTTGA